TCGAGATTCTCTTTGTCTGAGAAACCGTTTTTCTCTCCGTGAAAGAACGAGCGTTCACCACGAAGATCAATGAGCCTGCGCGATCTCTTTTCTGGGGATCCCCCTTTTATTAAACGCGATTCTAGTTTCAGAGACGGTTAGGAACACAATGTAGGAATAACAATGCCTTCGATAGTTGGATGCCAATTATTAAAATAAGTTCTACGTGTATTATGTGTCTTCTAATATATTTTATAAATATCTTTCTCCACAGATATATGAAACAGAGGAAGAAAGTGAAAATTTTTAAATGTACGATATAAAAATGATATCTTTATTTGGAAAGGTTGCGCTTTTCTTCAAGTTATACAAGACACGAGTTATACACTTTAGCCCTTTCTCATATGAGAAAAGCTATTACAAACCAGAGAGAGAGAGAGAGAGAGAGAGAGAAGCATCTTTTAACGATCGGTTCTTACGATAAGTGAGCGTGAAGATTATAGCGGACTTGAAGGCGCGCGTCCTTCCGGCCTTTCAAAATGCGTTCCCTTCCATTGCAGGCATTGCACGCACCGTAAACGTTTCGTGCATTCATCGTCAGATAGCAGCACATTTCATCTCGTTTATCCATTCAAAAGATTTCGCGGTATTTAATAATCTTGTCGAGAAAAATTCGAATTTATATATATTTTATATATATATATGTACTTATTTATTTATTATTTATTTATCTATAACAGTTAATCTTGTATCGAGTTTGTAAGTTTTATCAACGAGTGAATGTATATAGCGATTCAATAATAAATCAATTAATTTTATATGATAAAGATTTGTATCGACTTGTGCACGTGACAACAATTTATTTATAAACAAAATTTTAAACACGTTATTTTTCTTATAAATCACTAACAGACGTTCTTAAGTAATGGAGGGTGTAATAATTATATACGCAAATTGCATTATAATATCTCAATATTGTGAATTTTTCTCAAACATACCTATCATTATTTTCGGGAGAAAATTCGGTTTGGTATTTTAGGGCAACACGATAAACGGATTGCCATCGACCACAATTCGGGACACCCGCTAGAGGGTTGAACGTGTACGAGTGGAAGTGCTTGTAAAGTGTATTCTCGGTACTCGTGTTACCGTCTTCCTTTACCCCCGTCGGCCCCGTCGCTTCCGCACCCCATCCAGGTCGGACTCTCTTCCACCACTTCCTTCGTTCTCTTTTTCCCTAAACCATCTTTCGTCTGCTGCGTATATACAGAGTCGGCGCTCTATCAGCTTACTTCCTTTCGGAACGATACGCGTTGTGCGTTGTAGGGGTTCCACGCTCCCCTTTCTCTCGAATCGCGTCGCTCATGTATTCTCAGTATAATTGTGCTCCTTGCGTGTCGACGGCTCTCGCTACTCGACGATTTAACGCCCCTTTGATCGCTTCTGTAGCTGCGGCGACGAATACACTTGAGGCAATTCTTATGAACGCGATAGATAGAGATTGATCGACGAGAAGATTACAGGCGTTTAAGCTTATTGTTAATTAAATTAATTTTAGAATAGAGAGTCATTATATACATGAAAGAGGTTGCTATATTGCAGTAGATAGCAACAATAAAAATACACATAGAAACAATCTTAATGAATATGACTAAAGTAATATTGTTAATCCTTTTTATCTATTTTTCAATTGTATCGCTCTAGCGGCTAGAGAAGCCATCAGGAGTAGCTTCTCCTCTCAATTATCTTAATTAATATCGTAATTAATTATATACTCTATGCCAGAAATGTGTTATTAGACGTGAGAGATCGCAACACATTCTACTGCCAACTGTAGAGATTATCATAATATACGTCTGTATTATACAGATCGATCTGTATATATATATATGTGTGTGTGTGTGTGTGTGTATGTGTGTGTGTGTGTGCGTGTATGCGAGAGACACGTTGAAGCCAATTCCGGTAGCGAGCCGCCTGTCTTCCGCGTAACTTTGCGAAACTCGAGCAAAACTTCTCGGCGCAAACATCAAGTTATTTCCTGATACGCTCGCCGCCCGCGGCTTACCCCTTTCGTTTGTCCCTCTCCCACCGGCACCCCTCTACGTGTGCCGGATTACTCTCCCGCGGCCGGCTCGTCGCTCTTCTCACTCCTTCACCCTTTCCGGCCCGGAGTAGTAATGCGCCGAAGCGGACGCTGTCGTCATCGCGTGTGGATGTGGACGCCTTCCCCTACGCACGCAGTACAACGCCGCTGCGAGCGGAGCCTCCAACTGGCTTCGCCTCCTGTGCATCGCGTCGGTGGCGGCGATATAGCGGGTGGTGGCGGCGGCGTCGGCGTTGCCAAGTGTCCTCGACCATCTGCAACCGTTCCTCTCCTCTCCTGTTTATTGGTTTAATATTCAATACGCCTCGCTAGTTCAATGTGTAACACAGCGACAGAGGCACGGATAGAGAGGCACGTCCATGAACGTATGCATCGTGCATCAGTCTGCGCGCACGGTTCTTCCCCTCTTTCTCCCCACCCCACGTACCTTTGTGTCCCCCATTTCTTCCCTCTTCCCCTATAGCCCTTCTGGTATCGTGATCCCCTCTACTTTCGCTTCCCCCTCGGCTTTCCTCCCTCCATAGATCGTTTTCTTCTCCCTCTCCCCTTCCATCTCTCTCTCTCTCTCTCTCTCTCTCTTTTCTTCACCCCTATTTTTCTCTCCTTCTTTCCTCGTCTATCATCGCTTCGTCCTTTTCCTCGTCCTCTCCCCATCAGCGCGTCCTTTCTCCATCTCACCTTCACGCACGTCGCATTCTCTCATAGATAATCGTAGCATCTTCTTTTCTCTCTTTCCGCTTTGCTTTTCAGTCGTTCTTCCCCTCCCCTACCTCATCATTCTCCTCCATCCTTCTGCGCGACGTATACAACGCTGTTATACGCGTGTACGCGTGAACGAATGTGTGTATATACTGGAGAACGCCAGCGCGTCCCTGGTCCCTCGGGGGTTAACTACGTATAGTCAGCTAATAGAGTTTGTCGCGAGTCGACATGCGCCCTTCTTGGCCCAAGGTGTCGGCCTTGCCCCATATTTCTTCGAAACGGCTGGATAGACGTCGGAGTGACGTTCGATATCTCGTAGACGTCGAGTAGCTATCGGCGTCGATACGCGCATAATCCGTAGTCGGCGGATGACAGAGACTATATACGCACCGCTACTCATCAAAGACTATCTATATAATAATGTATGATAGCTACAGGTTTTACGCATCGAGCGACGAGATACGTTTGCAACACATCACGATCTTTGCATGTAAACATTATAATACTCGCAACGCAAATGATACTATACCATTCTTCCAATCGTTTAAAAAATAGTTATCTAATATATATGACGTAAGAGCGTTGGGAAATAATTATTTATCTCGCGCGGATGAACCTCCCGCTCTCTTGGACAATAGATTTTTAATTACGCGCATCCGGCATAGGTAATTGCATGTATATGCGTTTTGAATAGCGAATGAATTTGTTCGCCTCTCGCCTTGTTATTTATTGCCGGGCACTCCGAATATGAAGAGCGTTTCGATAATGCAATTCCGTATGCCGCGTACGTCGGCTATTTATGTTTTGCAAATAATGCCCAGGCGCACACGAGGATCGGCCGCACTTGCACTCACGTACCTTCTATCGATTCCAACCCAGCGAATTACGCGAAGTAATGATGGTTCACGGTGATATACGTGTAACATTGATTTCTGCGTTACGTCAGACCGATGATGCCCGGTGCGTGAAGTGCTATTGATTCACCCTGCAGGCAGAATGGGTATCCATATTCGATTTTCGAGTGGGCATAGTGGGTATCGTTTAGCGTCGGTTCTGACTCGACATCGAGTTCAAATCTTGATTTGTTTCTCGTTACGTCGAATTTCCACGATATCACGTCAATTTTCATTAAATTTGTCGTTCACCCGATAATATATTTTTAAATGCAGTTTTTCTCTCCATATGTGTGTGTGTGTGTACATGTATAGTTTCTATCTGTAAAAGAGAATTACTTTATATAATTCGTGAAAATAACTTTTAAAAATCGATAGAGATCCCGGCTTTTCGACTTAATAAATTAAACTGATTTTGCAAATGGACGAATGCAAGAATTTTTATCAATTATCTTACGATAAAAACAACAAAAAGAATATTTCAATTTTTATATTTAGATTATCATTTCCAGCTTCAGTTTGTTTACATTTATATATGTATACCACATACTGTGTGGCGCAAGTCACTGTATAGTGTCGATTAACAGTAATTTAACATGCAACATGGCGATGGTTAAACATAATTTATTCATTCAGTCTGCACAACCAATAATAGGTCAAACTGAACATGACGTAGTAATCAAATTTCCGCAGGATCAATGATAGAATATATTCAATGATTTAATTAATCTCGATGTATAAATAACGTTGAAAAATGAGAAAAGAGAATAAAGAAGCCAAAAAAAAAGAAAAAAATACAAAAAAAAAACCAGAAAACAAATATGAACAACTCAACAAACAAACCAATTCACAGAGGATGTAGTATTCTGTGTGTGTGTAAGTAATATGTACAATATTTTTATCAAATCTAAATAATTTTTAAATAAAGTGATATAAAATTCAAAAAAATGTTAAATATTTCGAAATCTATTCAAATATTGTATTTATAAGAAAACATATTAATCATATTGTTTAAAAAATACCAAAGAAACAGAATCATTTATTTTAGAAGCCATTATGTCACATTAATTTAAAGACCATTCTATCTCAGACAATTCAAAGAGTTTTCAATTTTTTTAGAGACATATGTCAAAGAATTGTTTTAAGACATAATACAGTTAATATGGTGCAGATTGTAGGCATGTGTCTGGAATATTTACTGAATTTTTGATTTTATAAATATTCTGAATTTTATTAGTATTTTATTTTTGATGTTATATATATAGACATAGCACAAATTTATCTGATTGTGCGATAATTAAATAAATATAAGAGATAAATTAATATATAAAAATTTTAAATAAAAGACCACATTTTTTGATCACTCTTAAGAATAGTTCAGACACTTCGCTGACGGGGTGTAGGTCGGTTGGCAGTAGCGGCTAGTGACTGCTGCAACTACGAATAGTCGAGGCGGGAGCGATGACCAGATGTGCGGATGGCGGACAGAATGGCATGGATAAGCGAACGAGAAGTGGTGTTGAAACGGATAGTACACATTCGGTCTTGCCTAGTATGTCCAGATTATCCGAGCCTCCTCATTCCTTTCCTTTATTCTCCTCGGCGTGTAAAGGAGCGTCGCCCAGCTGCCGTCGTCGCACCGACGACGTAACTTATTTCCGAAAATCGTCAACAACCACTCACCCCTGGGGTGCCAAACCAAGGACAATCGTCGAGATCTCGAAGGTACTGTCTGGATATTACGACGCTAAAGTCTCTAATGGTCGCGTGAAATAATAATGGAGGATACCTTTGACTTTAAGCCAGACAATTTTAAAAGATTTATCATCAAGTCAAAGATTTACTTTTAAAATTTATCACCAGACTTATAGTCTTACTAAATTTAACATCTATGTTAAATTTAGTCAGACTATATTGTTATTTAACATCTATGTCGGCAATAGAAATTTGAGCATTCAGTTTGTCATCACTTTGCGAATTGTTTTCTTAAAGAAGATACAAATACAGAAGAAACAAGTTTTGTTCATTTTGTAGACCGAAAAAAAATATATCTTGATAAGACATTGATAATAGAAACGTTTGCATCGTTAATGCGATTATTATTTATTATTGGGATTATCACAATTTGATAACCATTGATGATTTTATCGGCGAAAGCTCGAAACGATAATGATAGATCTCGCGCTGCTGTTGGATATAATACGGCAAAACCGATAGCGCTTTCATACACATGCTTTTTAATGATGTGTTGAAAAAATACTTAAGAATTGGCACTCGCTCAGTTAAGGGAAGGAAAAAGGCCCTTGCTGAATTGTCGTCGACAACATGAGCAACAGATATTTTCGACCATTGTCGCGTTTAAGTTTGTCAATATTATTACCTGAAGAAGACCTGAAAGATCGCCGAAGGGATGCGTGTGGCCTCTTTCGTTCCGCTAATTCGAAAATAAGGAAACCGGATGCTACTGCCAAATAATTTATTGCGCTATTGAAAGCGCAATAAAGGAAAGTGAAAGCTGATTTTCAAGCCATAACTAACATTATTTTGGTATACCTAGAAATAACAAGAAAAATGTTTTTGTGTTTTCAGGTAGATGGTGTCACAATAGAAATATTTCTCTACGGACGACAACTGAGACGTCACAGCCTTCAACTAACAATTTTAACGCTTCATATAAATGTGAATGGAAATTTGGAAGTTATTGGAAATAAGTACTAATTCATTATATTTCAGATTGCAATAGATTTCAGTGGCATTTGTGTGCAACTCGTGGAAAGAGGTAAAAACAAAAACTATAAATCACAGAATTTTCAGGTAGTAAAGAAGTATACTTGACAGAAATACAATGTTGAATGTGTAAATCACCAATCTATATAAACTTAAATTATTATCCCCCATATACATGCATGCTTATAGTTTAAATAATAAATATTCTGAAGTAAATAAGCTCACTAAATAATATTAGGTTAAAAAAACGCCCAATTATACCGAGGCGCGTTATCAATAAAGCTTTATAATTAAAAATAATAAAAAGAAAAGAATTTGATTAAAGAAAGAATATATTTTTGCAAAATGTATGGGAAAACGAAGAGACTCGAATGATAATCGGTCCTGCTTATTAGCGAATTTAAAATTTTTTAAAAATACTTAAAAAAATATTTGGAAATACTCAAAGTATTTTTAAAACATTTGTAGTTTAGATTTAGTCCTGCTTCACCGTCTTTCGATAGCATACTAAACATTTATCATTAAATATTGTCATAGCCATCTAATTATATATTATATTATAATTGCATATATTATATTTATAATTACAATATTGTGGTATATTTCTCATAAAAAAAAAACCAAAGTGACAGTTTTTAAATCCTAAGGAAAAATTAATGATTCCCACGAAATTAGCTTTAAGATCGCAAACACAATTAACCTTCATTCAAAATTTAATTATATTTTTAATTAGATGATTACTTAATAAAATATTTAATATCAAAAATTTAATGTTTATCACAAATAACGACTTCTTTTGATAATCTTACGAAACAAAAGTTGATTCCAAATTTAAAGAGAAGGCATTCTCTCTTATAAAGTGCGATGCGGTGGTGACTGATCACCCTGTGTGTACCGTTATGTCGACGCACGTCAAACTGGGATGTGTAACGCGAAAGTAAAGTGTAAACACCGTGTAATGTCGATCCTCCCGGTCTCGAAAGGAGTCCGCGGTGAGCGCGAAACGGCGTCGCGCGATCGAGCGGAATGCAGGAAGAGGAACAAACGGAACACTGCGGCACGGTATCGAGGAAGAAGAGAAGCTGAAAAGAGGGAGAGAGGGAGAGAGAGAGAGAGAGAAATATTCACACAGTGATTCGCGAAGCACGCCATTGATCGCGCTCGGAGAGCGCGCGATACTTATATATGCGTGTTACATGCTCGGGGCCCAACGCGGGCGAGGAACTATCGTCGATACGTGCCTGTCAGTCGTTAACCGAATAAGGCTCAGGTGCCGAAGCGGTAATCTTCGTCGGTGAGCCTTGGCGTCGTTTTGCCACGTTGTAAAGAGGGCCGTGCAGCTCGGCGGCAGGCCGGCCGACCGGGACCGGCGCAGTCATTGCCACAACGAGTAGAAAATATACTTTCAAGCCTAACGGGATAATGTCGCCATAGTGACCTGGCCGGCCTATTATCTTTTTCCGTGAACCATAATACAGCGGTAACATAGAGCGCCGCATAACATAACACGGTATTAGCATTGCCTAGATAACCGGTCAATGAAGACGTCTCCCCTCTACGTATGTACGGGCGTGAGTTTTCGCGAAATGCCTGTGGATTTATTTGCCCGGTTTACGATTAATTTTTGCATCTGATATTTTCTATAAATTTGATAGTTCTTTTCTGAGAGAAATTTTTGTGTTTCTTATAATTTTATACACATAAAAATTTTACACACTCTGTGATGTTTTTTGCTGAAACGTGCAATACTAAATGACATTGATATTTATATAGGTATTGCCATTTAACAAAAGGATTTTAAAAAATAATAAATATATTTATTAAAAAATAAATTTAATAAATATATAAACCATTTTTTTTT